GAACCAAACAAGCACATGGAGGCAGGCAGAAGACACTTGTGAAGGAGAACAACCATAGGGTCACGAAGATGGCAGAAGAAAAACTACAGTAAACAATGAAAATGTACCTGAAAAGGAGCAAAGAAGGGATTCCAGAATTGCTTCCAGGGCTAGCAGTTTTTAATCTTATGAGTCATATTTCTCTTTGCCCTCTGTACAGTCTGTGAGTGTGGATGGCATCTACTCGGTTTAAGGGGCCTCTGTCCTCAGTCTCCTGTCTGTGGAAGCTGTTCAGACTGTGGTGTTGGACCAGGAAAGGTGTGGGGCCTTGGTTCTGAGGCTTCTGTCATGGATTCCTGTTGGCTGGGGACCAAGGCTGGTTACACAATGTGTATTCAGGTGGGTGTGGCTGTGGGACAGGCTCAGACATCAGGTGGAGGCTCCTGTGCACCCAGCACTCCCAGAGAACTAAATCCACCTGAGTCAAACATAGGGAGATTTCTGCAGGCCCAGCAAGGTGGCAAGGCTCTGGGTACTGTCTCACAGGCATCCAAAGTACCAGGCAAATCAGGCAGACCCTTAGCCCTTGCTGCTAAACTGGGCAGAGGACTGGCCTACTGTGTTAGGCAGGGATCGTGCCTGGAACCTGGCAGTGTATAGGGTGGATATTCTGGTGTGCGGACTGGAGCTGGAGCACCTAGGTGCTGAATGGATACTGCCACAGTCCAGGTGAACCAGGCAGAGATTCACATGGGCTGGGAACACCATGTGTAAGTCCAGGTTGCCTGGGCACTGGTGCTACATGTCAGACTGAGTCTCTGGTGAATCCTGAATAGGACCAGGGCAGTGAGAACTGGGTATAGGCTCAAGCAAATGCTGGGTGCTAAGTTTTAAATTAAACTGGACCTGTGTTAGCTCTGTGTGCCAGATGAATGTCCCAGTTGGCATGGGATATGCTACAGGCTCCAGGTCTTGGCTTGAGTATGCATAGGATCCAATATTGTAGACTCCCACACAGATACCTATCTGTCTGAAGACAAGTGGGTGGGAAAGGAGTAGTTCCCATCCTGGATCACTCCCTCTTTATGTGGGCTGAGGAAAATGCCACCACGCTGCAGCATTCTCTGCATTTGGAGAGGAGACCAAGAGATGAAGAGCCTGTGAACTCCAAGTCTCTCTTGATAGGCCTGACTCTGCTGCATTGCTAGGGATCTTCCGGTTAGCTAGGAACTTCTCAAAAATGGCTGTCCCCATGGGAAGGAAGGGTAGAGACCATGCTGGCCAGTCCTGCCAGATATCTTTCCTCTCGTAAACTCCTATGCTTATGTTTTCTTTGAGGTACACATCTCTTCTTTCAAATGCTTTCTTTTATTTTTATTTTTTCCACCAAGGCATATGTGCTTCCCTCTCTTCCAATTACCTGCGATTTTATGCTCTCTTCTCTGAGTCTCTCAGAGGTGAATCCTCTTCTATTCTGCCATGTTGGATTTCTCAGATTAAAACCAAAAGACACAAATTGGGAGACTGGATCAAAACACAGAACCCAACAGTCTGCTGCATTCAAGAAACTCATCTAATGCAAAAAGATACTCATAGATGAAAATCAAGGCTCAGAAACAATATTTCATGGATCAGGACACTGAAAACTAGCAAGACTTTGAATTTTAATCTTAGACAATGTAAACGTCAACCTAAAATTGGTCAGTAGGAACAAATAGGTCTCTGTATACTAGTTAAAGTAACAATTCAACAGGTAGAGATAATGCTTCCAAATATTTGTGCAGTGAATACTGGGGCACTTATCTTCATATAATTACTGCAGAACATAACAAAATCACATAAGTACTAATACAATGATAGTAGGCGAACTTAACACTCCACTTCCACAAGGAGATTAATTAAACAAAAAATCAAAAAAGAACTATCAGAGTTGAATAACACCCTTGAACATATGGACTTAGTAGATATCCACAGATTATTTCAGTCTACTACAATAGAGCTTACATTCTTTCCTGCAGTTCATGGAACTTTTTATAAAATAGATCAGCTGTTAGTCCACAAAGCCTGCTTAAATATATATAAACAAATTGAAATCACCCCATGTTTACTATCAGATCACTGTGTAATGAAAATAGAAATCAAACTCAAAAGAAACCACAGAAAATTGAAAGCCACTTGGAAATCTAATAGCACAATCCTAAACACAGTGAATCACAGAAGAAATCAAGAAAAAATTGAAAAACCTGGAAGTTAATGACAGTATGACATACCAGAAAATTTGGGATACAAGCAAAGCAGTCCTAAGGGGGAAGTTTGTTGTAATCAGTGATCACATTTGGAAAACAGAGCAATCTAAAATGAATAACCTAATGAGGAATGCTATGAAACTTGAGAAAAAACAATCCTGGCCCAAATCAAAATTAAGGAAAAAAATAACAAAGATGGGGGGAAATGAAATGGAGACTGAAACTCAATACAAAGAATCCACAAATCAAAGGAATTGCTCTGTGAAAGAATCAAAAATAGATAAACTCTTAACCAAACTTCCCATGAGAGAGAAAAGATTCACCTCAGTCCAGTTAAAAATGAAAAAGCAAAATCACAGAAAACACTATTGAAATCCAAAAGATAGTTACTCCTATAAAAATATGTATTCCAATAAATTGGAAAATTATGAAGAAATGATCAGATTCCTGGATGCATGTAAAGTACCAAAGCTAACCTAAGAGGACAAAAATGCTGAGAATTCATGTTGTGAAACTGAGATAGTAATAAAACTCCAACAACTAAGAAAAAGCTCAAGACCTGGGGAATTCACTGCTGAATTCTATTTAACATTTAAGGATGTCATATCATCAATAAATCTTAAACTCTTCAATAAATTGAAAGGAATAGAGTACACTGAAATTCTTTCATGGCACCAAGTAGCACTCAGATCCCCAAGCCAGATAAAGACCCAATTAAAAAAGAAAACTACAGGCCAATCTGCTTAATGGACATAGATGGAAAATCCGAATACTATTGGTGACTAAAATGGAACACATTGTCAAAGAGATCATACATTATGACCAAGTAGGTTTCATCTCAGAGATGCTTATATGTTTCAACATATGCAATATATTAAATGTAATACATCACATAAGCAGAAGTAAGGACAAAAGAGAATTTAGAGATGTGGGGAGGGAGGTGGTGGGAAGTGCATGGGGATGTCACAAAGAAACAAGCTGTGTTATCTACATGCACCTACATGCACTCCAAGATGAGTGGAAAATTCATATACTGCAAACAGGTAGTATAAAATAAAAACTTTTTTAAAGAAATTGTAAAGGGAATTCATCACATTGAAAGAACCATTAATGAATAAAAACTAGGAAAATATAATCAACTCAGTTTTGACTAATCATACAGACAAATTTAAAAAGCTGTAGTAAAAAACTTTATAACTTTTTCCCCAATTTCAAGAAATAATACTAACTATACTACTGTGTTAAGAGATTTGGAAAGGTGTAAAGGATTGAAAAATTTCACTGTAAAGAAACAAGAAGTATTTGAAGAAGGAGATGGGTAGAATTTAAACATCAGAGAAGGTATACATATACACATGCACATCAATACCTCTGTATTATGGGAAAGATTTATGTTTTACTTCATCAGTGTAAAACCCATTTAATTTAAAAATATACCATCATGGTCCCTGCAGGCAGCTTAATGTCTTCTCCTCTAAGAGACTGGGATAAGGAACTGCAGGTATCCTCAGGGGGAAATCTCCAGAGATCACTGTGGCTCATAATTGTCCCCAAATCTTCCTATAGAAGCCTCCGGGACCCCGACAGGGCTCAGGCTGGTAACAGTTGAGAAGGGACACATTGCTGCCTTTGCTATTGGACGTCACTGACACATCCAAGAAAGAGTCTCTGTCACCAGTGCAGGAGAGCTTCGGACCTGAGGACTGGCTGGGAGCCTGCAGCCTCATCCACGGAAATCCCTCTAAGTAAGTTATATTCATGGACTTTTTAATGATAAGCTCTTGGAGAAGTGAGTCAGAGACTTATTATTTACAGAGGCACTTCTGTGACTTATGTGAGAAGAGTAATCGCATCATGTTTATTTTCTAGATGAGGGGAGCATTGTTCTTCCAAGGGGACAGAGGAATTCATGGTGCCTATGGAACTTGGTCCAAGTGATTGTCCTCTTCCCTATTTTTCCCTCTCTGCCTTAGAGATGTTGGTAAATTAAAATATTACTTGAGACAGAGGGAGCTCCTCTCTGTACTGATTGTTGCTCCTCATTCAGAAAACTGGTAAGCTCTTCCATTCCATAAGCATTTACTCAGAACTATAATTTATACAAATACAGGGCATAACCATACCTAAGATGAATTATTTTATGAACAAAATATTTATTTCCCAAATACTTTGAAATGGAAACGTGAACCTGTGCTATAAATGTCTTTCATAGAGAGTCTGGAGATTAAGGTGACAATGATTCTTTCCCCCAAAATATGAACAAAATTTAACAAAAATAAAAATAATCTATATCAATGTCATAGCAAAACAATATCGCAGTGTGGCTGGAAGAAGACACTGAATGGATAGCTGAGGTGTCTGTAGTTTTTTGCCATCCTGGTTATTTCAACATCCTACATGTTTTAATATGTGAGCACATGGGAATGTCAGATACTATTGTGTTCAGTAGGAGCAAATTTGATGGTAGTTTTATCCACACAGTCATTTACATTGTTAAAATTTGTGTATCTAACTTTATAAATTTACACTCTTAAAAATTACATGCATGATCCATTAAAATTCCACAGATCTGCAACCATGTAAATGTGCACACAATTAATAGAATCAGCTTGATTTTCAAGAAAATAATTTCTCTTGAGACTCCTCAAGTACAAATTAATTTACAACAACAGAAAATATGTGGCAATTACAATTTCTGGTTTCATTTCAGTTTTTTATATTTCTCTTTCTTCTTTCTCTTGGCTACAGCACATGTAGAGGATCTGGACAGCACTGATGGAGAACAGCACAGAGGTGACCCAGTTCCTCCTGCTGGTACTGACGAATGACCCACACCTGCAGGTTCCCCTCTTCATCACCTTCCTCCTCATCTACACCATCACTGTGGCTGGGAACCTGGGGATGATCCTGCTGATCCTCCTGGACCCTCGTCTGCGCACTCCCATGTACTATTTCCTGGGCAACCTGTCTCTGGTGGACTTTTGCTCTTCCTCAGTTGTCACTCCCACAGTCATGACTGGGCTGCTTACAGGAAACAAGGTCATTTCCTACAATGCTTGTGCTGCTCAGATGTTCCTGTTTGCAACCCTCATTTGTTCAGAAAATTATCTCTTGGCCTCTATGGCCTATGACCGCTATGCAGCAGTGTGCAAGCCCCTGCACTACACCACCACCATGACCACAAATGTGTGTGTGTGTCTCGTCATAGGCTGCTATGTCATCTCATTTGTGGATGCCTCAGTCCACACTGGGGACACATTCAGTCTCTCCTTTTGCAGCTCCAACTTGATCCATCACTTTTTCTGTGATGTCCCACCAGTCATGGCTTTCTCCTGCTCTAACAAACAGGCTAATGAGCTGATTCTTGTTTATCTTGTGAGCTTTCATAGCTTTTTTGCCTTCCTTGTTATTTCAACATCCTACTTCTTCATTTTTGTCATCATCCTAAGAATGCACTCAGCTGCAGGACATCACAAGGCTCTGTCCACCTGTGCCTCCCACTTCACCGCCGTCTCCATCTTCTATGGGACAGTCATCTTCAAGTACTTACGGCCCACATCCAGTCACTCCATGGACACTGATAAAATTTCCTCTGTGTTCTACACTATAGTCATCCCCATGCTGAACCCTATGGTCTACAGCCTGTGGAACAAGGAGGTCAATAATGCGTTCTTGAAAGTCAAAGATAAAATCAAGGCCAAATAAGATGGAACATTGTGATTGTAACTTGGTGGGATGCACCTTCCCTGGAGAATTTCCTCTGTGATCTTTCCCAGGTTCTGATTTGAAGTGAACACTGACAGTAATACTCTCACTTGCGCAAAAGTTTGACATTGAAAAAATGCTGTGTCCGAAATAAATACAGAGTGAAGAGTAAAGGTATCCTGGGTTCTGCTGTCTAAACCATCCTTAAGGCTATTGATGTATGCAAACAAAATACAGTGTTCTTTTCTATACCTCATGTTAATGTGAATATGTGCACAACAGGCTCAAAGATGCCCATAAATAGAAGAAATGTCCTCAAGATGTCTCATGATAACAAAAGGATGTGGTAGGTTTTGCCATCCTTGAATATAATGTGCTGGTTTTGGCAGTTAACTTTATGTGTTTTTGGCTGGATTAACAGATTTTCTGGCTAAGAGACAGCCAACAAATGATGTTACTGTGTGTCAGTGAGTGTGTTTCCAGAAGAGCCGTGTGCTTAAAGCAGTGGAGTAAACAGGATCTGTGCTCCTCACTGTGGGGCCAGTTTTCTCTCTCTCTCTCCCTCTGACCTTTAGAACTCCATCTCTGACACTCTCAGCCATCATGGAATGACCTGTGCCTCTTCTTTGTCCTTCGCTCGTGGACACCTACACCAGTAGCAAGTCCCCTCCTCTGGCTCAGGTCCTTGCCTCTGACTCAGGGAGCCCCTCCGCCATTGTCCTTCAGATTACGGACAGAGCATTGCTAGAGTTCACAGCCTCCATGTCGTGCACAATGACGCCCTCAGCACGCATTCTCTTGTGTGTCTGCATGTGTTCTGTGGATTCTTTTACTTGAGGTCCCTGACTAAAGCATACTTGCTTAAAAGTTGTAACATAACATTTGATTTGTCTAAGAGAATACAATTTTGGGTAAGAGGTTTTATTTTCGCTAATACTGTTAGAGTCATAATTTCAGAAAATACGATATATATTATAAAATGAAAAGGTTTCTCTTTCCATATTTTAATGAGCAATGTATAAATCTTGAATCTCATGGGAATTAATACATATTTTTTACTATGTCATTTCATACATCAAACATGTTCATATTTTAATTTTCAAAAGGATACATTGGAATAAGAAAATACAGGAAATATAGCAATCTTTTAAATATATTCATATATTGCTATATTCAGATTAAAAATTAAGCCTGGGATCCAGTAACATTGTATATTTTTCTACAAATGCTTTGAACTATAATGCTAACCATTGTTTTGTACTGTTGGTCAGTTACATTCTTCCTTGCAGTTTTGTCCCCTCTCCCAGTTTTTGCATTGATTTTCTTTTTTGCCATTTCTTCACAAATTCAACCAGACTCATGCCTCAGGTCCTTTGCACTTGCTCTTCCCTGTGTGGAAAGTTCTAATTTCATTCAGAGCACTGACTCAATGTGTCTCCATCATAGAGTCCTTCCCTGACCACTTTCATCAGCTGTGCAGTCTTTAGTCATCAAGTACACTGTTCCTGATGTTATGGCTTGTGTCTAGTAGTCCCCCAAAGCCTCACGTGGTCTTAGGTAGGGCCTTTACGAGGTGGCTGGATCTAGGGTGTTTAACGCTATGATCCAGGAGGTGATGCTGGACTGATTCATGGTGTGATGTGACGATTAAGCCTGCCCTACCCTGAGCATGAATGCTACCTGCTCTAAGGGTGGGTAGCCTAGATTGAGTATAAAGGACAGAAAGAGTGTTGTTGCTTTTTGGTCATCACTTGCTGTTGCTTCAATACTTTGCTGATTTGCTGCCTTCTGTCTGCCAGGACATTAACTTTGAGTGTTTGATATTTTGTTTCAGAATTTGGTACCTAGAGTGAGGTCTTTGCTGTGAGTATAACTGACCATGTTCCAGGAGCCTGTGGAACTGGCTTCTGGTAAGATGTTGGAAAGGTTGAAGATCCCAGCTTGGAATGCCTTAAGCTGTACTTGATGAGATTCTGGTAAGAATTCAGAAGAAAAGAATGCTGATAGAATGCTGCTAGGAAAGGCCAGGCTCAGAAGGTTTCTGCAGGGAAGAAGGATGACTGCATTAGTTTTTGGACTACAGAAAATGTGTATTATACCTTGCCAGAAAGTTTGCCTGCATTTTGCTTATGTCCACAGATTTTGCCTGAGAATGAGAGAAAGGGCAGTGGGCTAATTAAACTTGCAGTAGAAATTTCAAGGCAGTCTAAATTTGGAGTAGTGACATGTCTAATCTAGGGTGTTTTTAGCTAGATCTATGCTGAAAATCAAGAGTGAAGAGCCCAGTAGAATGATTTAAAATGTTGTGCATTTTGTTGGGAACGAAGCTCCAGTAAAGCTGTGGACTGCAAAGATACAGCAGAGGAGAAGGAACAGAATAATGGAAAAGATGGTCTGAGTGGAACACGAGAACTAGCGGGACTTCAGGATTTGCAGCCTCAAGTTTGCAAAGGTGAAAGACTTTGCTTTGAGAAGAGAGCCCCAGAGCACCATGTTGGAGAATGGTGGCAGCCTGGGCAAGTTGTTTCTTAGGATTTGGTTTGTAGACACCCATACCCTACAGCCAAGAGAAAAGGAAGCCTGGCTACTGCTCCAGTTGCTGGCAGACATTGTCATCATCTGTGTGGTACTGATTTTAAGTGTATTCAGAATGCAAGAGCTCTGGGGTCAAGAATGCTTCTACCCAGATTCAGGAAAGGCCTGGGAAGCCAGGCAGGGTGCCCCTAAGAGGGCAATGTGTGAAGCTGTGAGTGGAGACTCCAGAAGTTTGGAAAAGGAAGGATTGTGGAACATTTGAGGAAAACTGCAAGGAAGGAGCAGATCTGGCCCAAGAGAGAAGCCCTGGGAGTTACAACCTGCAGCAGTGACATGGGGGAGGAGATACCCAAGCCCTTTGGAGTTAACAATTTGCCACAGATTGCTTTGGATGCTGAACTATAGGAAGTACTATTTCCCTTGCTGGATTTTGGACTTGCTTTGGCCACATTCCTTTCTACCTTCCTATTTGTACCTTTCGGAACAGTAATGTTTTTATTGTGCCACTGAATACTGGAAGTTTTCAACTTTCTTTGTGTTTGTACAGGGGCTCAGAACTAAGAGTTGGCTTTAAATCTCAGAGGAGACTTTGGACCTAGGCTGGTCAGGAATGTTGAAGCTGTTAGGACTTTGGCAATTCTTGGAGATGGAGATGGAGTACATGCCCATTTCATACAGGGATGTGTACAAGAGATTGGCAAGTCAGGGTCAGAATGTTATGGCTGTGTCCAGATGTGCCCCCAAGGCCTCATGTGGTCATAGGTGGGGCTTTTCAGAGATGGCTGCTTCTAGAGTGTGTGATTATGGGATTGAGGGTGTGCAATTACTAAATTAGACTATTGATTGGTTTGGCATAGTTCGGAGTGTAGATAATGGAAAGGCCCACCCTGAGTGTGACTACCACCCACCCTAAATGTGTGTAGTCTGAATATAAAATAAGGAGCAGAAAGAGGGCTGGTGTGGTTACTTGTAGCTTGTTGCTTATTGCCTTGCTGCCTTCTGCCTTCAGTGTACTGTTTGTCCCCTGCAATGCCCCTCTCCCATTCCACCCTGTCTTGGAGCCAGCCAACTATGACCTGAAATCTCTACAAGCTGTGAGTGAAATAAACTTTTCCTCCTTTAATTTCAGTGTTGGGTATTTTGTATCCACAAAGAGAAAAGAAAGCAAATACAGATGAATTAGACACAGAAGCTTAAATGCCATGTGGTATCTCTCATGTGAATAAGGCAAAGTACAAACAAAGAGTATGATAAGAATTGTAGAGAAAGAACAAAAGGGATAGATCTCTTGCAAGTTGGAATCCTGAAAACTGAGGATGAGGAGAGAGTGAGAGAGGAAGTAGAAGTTGAAGAATTAATAAATGCCACATACAGGAACCTAAAAACCTCAATGAATGAAAACATTATGTGTTATAAGTATAAGCTAAAAAGAATGAAAATGGGGAAAGGGGATTGAGAGGCAGGAGGTGGTGGGAAGGGGAAGGGATTAGTAAAAGAGACAAGAGGTATTATATACATGGACCCAATTCCCCAAGATGAATGTAAACCTCATGTAGTATGAACATGTGCTAAGGAAATAAAATAAACAATAAATTTAATGTTAATTAGTGTTTAATGTTTAATTCATATTAGACCTACAGAATCCTGATTGATAGTAATAATTGTGTTACAATTTGCATATATGTTATGTAAAAATTTTTATGAAAATCCTCAGCAGATGATCAAATATCATTATCTCTTTTGTTACAGAAGAGAAGCTGAAGTTTTAAAAAGAGGATAGATTCCTTATCTAAATTTGAAGGGAAGTAACCTAGATGCATACAAAAAGTATTTCAATGTGATATTTCATTTGTCTGTCCCAAGAAAGGAGTGATTACTTGGGAAACACACTATCCCCAGGCCAGTGATCACAGACAGACTTTAGAGCTGCCTTGGGAACAGGCAAAATGTAGCATTCTGATCTATAGCAATACTAGCAGGTTAGTGTGCTTCAGTGTGCTCTTGCCAAACTTCTTGTCCTTATATTTGTGATATTAAGGAACAACCAAGTTTAGTGTCAGCCTAGGTGTCCAGGGGAAGGCCTTCCCCAGAGACGATAATGTGAAGCAACAACCAGTTCACTGGGAGTAGATTAGTGTTTTAATCTCAGGATATCTAAATGAATTTGCCAACAGACCGGTGAGAACACAATGGGCTGATGTGAAGGAGCCCACCATGAAGCCCACCTGTGGACAGCAGATCTCAAACAACCACAGTGTCGTGAGAAGACATGTGGCCCAAATCACACGTCTGATCTAGCTACAATCAGCAGTGGCTGTTAGTATTTCCTTGGCTATAATTGCAAATCACCAAGGGACAGTCAACAGCATAAAGAAAGTTTTGTTCCCTCCCTCTGCTGTGCTCCTTTAGGAGGCTATGGGTATGGAGTATAACAGGGAAATGCAAATTTGTTATCCACAAACTTT